TATCAAAGAGAATAATGAAATAGAAAATTAAAATTAAAGACAAGTTAAAGGAATTAAAGCTGTTATACATAGCAAGAAAAAAAGAAAAAAAGAACAACAACCTAAGGGTCAAGTTCATTACTGTCTCCAAGTAATAACATAATGCTGAATAATTTCTCATCATGTTAACACAAGCTCAAACCAGGAGAAACAGGCTTAACTCTAAAAGAAAAGATTCCAACAGGCCGAACCATGGGAACATGGTAGGATAAAACATTGGAGTGGGGTTCCTGGGGAAAATCCCTCTCCCCTCTCTGAAGACTGTCAAGGAGGAATAAAAAACTACCTACCATGAACAGTTCAGAAACGTATCTGCCTAAAAGCAGAGCCGGACAAGACTGCCTCTCAAAATCTGTTACAGATATGATTCTAGAATTGTAGCCACTAATAATTTCAATTAATAGCTCATAAAACTTGACACTCGTAAACAACACATATACCCCTGCCTGAAGCAGTTCTAATAATACAGATGCAAGAACCTCATCCCAATATATAACGTGTAACTTAATGAATATGATTTTTAGAGGCCACTCAACTTTAATCTATATAATTAGAAAAGTCACTAAGATTTTAAGAGTTAAGAAAGCAGATATAGGCAACTTTAGGTAGCTGAAGACAACAGCAGATGTCTAATCTTGTGTCCACCCATATATCCTGCAAAAACAATACAGAAAAGCAAGGAGAGCAAATAAAGCCACACAAAACCATGTCCTTAGCATACAACTGGAAGGCAAAAAAAAAAAAAAAAAAAAGCGCAAACTGTAAAGTAACTATAAGAAGACGAAAAACATACCAAATCTCAGCAAGTAACCTCTCAATACTCCTGCCACAAGGCTTTGCAATGAGCAATGAATGGTCTGAGTTCATCTGTTATAATAAAAAAATCTCCAATTTGGCTCACAAAGAAAGATCCAACTACATGTTGTATACAAGAGGCACATTTAAAAAACAAAGTGATTTAGAAAAGCTAAGAATAAAGGGATAAACAAAGGTTTACCAGGCATATGGAAACAATAAGAAATGGTAGTGATGATATCAGACAATGCAGAATTCAAGCAAAAAAAAAAAGTTGTTATTGTTAGGTGCTGTCAAGTCAGTTCCAACCCATAGCGACCCTATGTACAACAGAACAAAACACTGCCTAGTCCTGTGCCATCCCCACCATCACTGCTATGTTTGAGCCCACTGTTGCATGCACTGTGTCCACCCATCTCGTTGAGGGTATTCTTTTTTGCTGACCCTCTACTTTACCAAGCATGATGTCCTTCTCCAGGGACTAGTCACTCCTGATAACATGTCCAAAGAACGTGAGACAAAGTCTCATCATCCTCACTTCCAAGGAGTACTTTGGCTGTATTTCCTCCAAGACAGACTTGTTTGTTCTTCTGGCAGTCCACGGTTTATTCAATATTTTAACTCAAAGGTATCAATTCTTCTTTGGTCTTCCTTAATCATTGTCCAGCTTTCACATGCATATGAGGCGACTGAAAACACCATGGCTTGGGTCAGGTGCACCTTAGTCCTTAAAGTGACATCTTTGCTTTTTAACAATTTAAAAAGGTCTTTTGCAGTAGATCTGCCCAATGCAATGTGTCATTTGATTTCTTCAGTGCTGCTTCCATGGGTGTTGATTGTAGATCCAAGTGAAATGAAATCCTTGACAACTTCTATCTTTTCTCTACTTACCATGATGTTGCTTATTGGTTCAGTTTGAGGATTTTTGTTTTCTTTATGTTGAGATGTAATCCGTACTGAAGGCTGTAGTCTTTGATCTTCATCAGTAAGTGCTTCAAGGCCTCTTCACTTTCAGCAAGCAAGATTGTGTCATCTGCATATTGCAGGTTATTAATGAGTCTTCCTCCAACCCTGATGCCAAGTTCTTCTTCATATGGTCCAGCTTCTCGGATTATTTGCTCAGCATACACACTGAATACATATGGTGAAAGCATACAACCCTGACACACACCTTTCCTGACTTTAAACCACACAGTATCCTCTTACTCTGTTTGAATAACTGTCTCTTGGTGTATGTACAGGTTTCTCATGAGCACAATTAAGTGTTCTAGAATTCCCATTCTTCACAGTGCTATCTATATTTGCAACATATATCAAAGATAAAGGGCTAATATTTCTAATATACAAAGAACTCTTAAAAAGCAAGGGAAAAAGGACCAAAGAAATCATTAGAAAAAAGGAGAAAGATATGAACAGACAATTCACAAAAAAGATACAAAAATGGTCCTTAAATACATGAAAAGTTATTCAACCTCATTTATAATAAAAGAAATTTCTCACCTATCAGATTGGCAAAAATTAAGTAGTGTTACAATATATTCTGTTGGCAAGGCTGTGGAGAAATATGTTAGTAATGGGAAGGCAAAGTGATACAATTATCTTGAATGGGAATTTGGCAATATCTAACAAAACTGCATATGCATTTTCCCTTTGACCCACCTATTTACTTGAGGAATTTATTCTGAAAATATACCTTCAACAACATGAAAATGTATACATGTACAAGATTATTCACCACAGCATTGTTTGTAATCGCAAAACACTGGAAACAAACTAAATACTGAAACATAGCAGAGTAGTTGAATAAACTGTGGTACATACAAACAACAGAGCACTATGCAGCTGTAAAAAAGAGTAAGGAAGATCTCTATGAACTAATATGGAGAGATTTTCAGGATACATTGTTATATAGGAAAGAAAGGGATATAAAACATACATGTATCTGCTCATTTTTGGAAATAAAAACCAGGAAGGATAAATCAGAAATTAATGACATTGGTTACAAGGGGGTAGATGAGAAAAGATGAGGGCATGGGAACAGAGAAGAATGGATGAGGAGAGTGGCACTTTTCTGAGTATATTATTTTGCATAGTTCTGTCCTTTAGAACCATGTTGATGTTTCACACAGTCAAATACATTAATAAATAATATCCAAAAGGATGAGATGAGGACTCAAAATGGGATAAAACAGAAAGAAATGATCCTATTTTATAAATAAATAACATAACCACAGAGAAAGAGGTTTGGGGAGAATAGACCTAATCTCAGTGACTTTGGAAAACAGTATTCTGACTATATGCTCTAAGGCTAAAGACGAAAAGAAGTATACACAAATATCACACACTAGTTAATAAGTCTGTCTTTCAGAGCTACAAATCAGAAATTCCGAAACTACTTTATATGTAGTCTAGGACTATGGAAATAAATAAACCTATGAAACTCTATGGGGCAGTTCTACTCTGTCCTATAGTGTCACTATGAGTCTGAATCGACTTGACAACAATGGGTTTGGTTTTGGCTTTATTATGCATAATAAGAGCCAGGCTTCTCACTCTTGTCAAAGGAGTTACAAATAAGAATAACGGAAAGGCTAGAATGAACTCCATGGTATTGGACTGGCATTAGATATATCAACATGAACTGGATACTCAAAATATCATAACTCAAAACTGAAGATATCATATATATTATTATATACGCATATAATGAAATACAGAAATAGATATAAATGTGTATCTGTACATACATACATATACTTCCTAGCTCATTTCACTGAGAAGACCTAGAAGCAATGACATCCTAGTAACAATAAGCATATCTCGAGCTTAGATTTTGGTTTCTAAATGCCACTCTCCAAAAAAAAGGAACCACAGCACCTTAGAAAAACAGTGATTCCAGGGCTGGGGCAGGGAAAGTACAAGCTACAAACAAAAGTATTAGAACATATTATGGTGCCAGAAAATAAAAACAAGCTCAAAAAATGATGGGGACATGTCAAAAAGACACAGAAAGAGCCCCCAATGGACAAATCTGAGACAATTTGAGCAACGAAATATAATAAAAGATTATAACTCATAGAATAAAATAAGACTCCTTGAGTCTATACTGATATAAATAAATATAATATTTAAAGGAAGAAGAAAAGCTCTTCCTTTCAGTAGAATTCCAATTAACAAATGTAGAAAGAATGATGGAAACAGAAAATCACCATTGAGCAAACACTACAGTAATAATTATTTCAGGCAGAATTATCAAAGAATGCTAAAGTTACTGGAAGAAAATTATCATGAGAAAATATGAGGATATTTACATAGTTTCAAAGTATCTCCCCATAATTATATATTACAAAGGAAAAAAAGAGCAATTTTACATGGAAAAATTGGCAAATCTTAACCAAGTAATCAAAGTTAACATCACCAGTAAGAGGACAAGTCATGTATCTCCTGATATGAAGCACTGAGGAGGACACAAAACAATTTTTGCATTATTTTTGGTAAAAATGTATACCAAACCAAAACCCACTGCCATCGAATCGATTCTGATTCGTGTCAACCCTACAGGACAGAGCAGAACTGCTGCATAGGGTTTCCAAGGCTCTAAATTTTTACGGAAGCAGACTGCCACATCTTTCTCCCGCAGAGCGGCCAGTGTGTTCAAACCGCAAACCTTCTGGTTAGTAGCCAAGTGCTTTAACCACTGCGCCACCAGGGTTTCCCAAAATGCATAAGCAAAGTTTAATAAGGAAGAATATAGGAGAAGCCCAAATGGGGGACATACTATAAAACAATTGGCCAGCAGTATTCAAAACTACTGAAATCATCAAAGACAAAGACAGAAGGAGAATATTTTCCAGATTAAAGGAGACTAAATAAAGGCAATGTGTGATCCTAGACTGGATCCTGGACCAGAAAAAGGACATCAGTGGGACAACTGATAAAATGTGAACAATGTCTATAGGTTCGATGATAATATTTATTTAATTTCTTGATTATGTTAATGTTAATTTCTTGGTTTTGATTATTATACTGTGATTATGTAAGATGTTAATATTTGGGCAATCTGGGTGAAGGGTATATGGAAATTCTTTATATTACTTTTTACAATGTTTTGTTAACTCTGAAATTATTTCAAAATGAAAAGTTTAAAATATATATACATATATAACCTAATACTCTGAAGTTCCCTTCTGGCCGACTCTTCTGCCATCTGTGAAGCCCGCAATTTCTCTTCACACTGATCCTTTTCAGATTGCCTCCAAACATCATGTTCCACTTTCATTTTTTCTAGATCTGCTAATCTGTTCTCAAGTTCTAGCCTGAAAAGAGATGATAATCATGTTATAAAAACTAAAAACAGGATTGTATGACAGCAGAATGTTTTCATTTGCGAGGAGATTTAACATAAAATAAGGTAATTTAGTACTTACTTTTCATCTTGTAATGCCACAAGTTTTTGATAACCTTCTTCCTTGACAGCTTGTACTTTACGTATTAATTCACGATCCTTTTCTACTAAGAGCACTTTGTGGTGTTCAACAGCTGATTTGAGAATTTCATTGTCTGACTGTAATCCTAGTATATTTTTAAGGAGAAATATGCACTATATTTAATATTATCATAAAGATGAAAAACCACAATTAAGGGCAAGCATTCATAGGACAGTAAGAAAATTAAAAGAATGTAGAAAATAAGTCTCTCTGGATATATATTCTCAAAGATCTTTACGTTAATGATAAACTTAAAGTAAGAACCAAACATAAAACTTGGTTAATTTTTCTGTCATTACCTCATTTAGCACATACACAAAAACACTTTAATAAAAGGTTATATACATTTTCTTATTTGAAGCCTGAGAGCTAGGGAGACCACCCTGGGTTCTATGACACTGACACACTATAGACAACATCATAACAAAGCTGGCTGAAAGAGGGTTAATAAAATCAAAGAACCTTTCAAAACCTGTTTTTGGCAGAACAAAATATAAACAACATGGAAGTTGCAAGTTCTTGCAATGAATTCACAAAACTTTTGCTTCCTTATACAGAGATGGCAAGTATTTTGCAGGTAGAATAACTAAAACAAATTCATATGTAACTCAGAAATTAAAATAGAATGCAGAACTGGATCCTGAACTCTTTAAGTTCCTAAGAAATGTAGTCCCTAACTGTATGCAAATCCATGAGTTAACATCAAGTAGAAATGGATAATAAGAATAATCATTCATCATAAGCTCTGACTAAAACTACAAAGGACAGCTACAGGCCAAGGGTAGTTTATTTAACTACTTAAGAAAGTTAGAAACAATATAATTACTGAGGAATACTGATGAGATGGACATTCTAAGACTAACCTGAAACTTAAAAATAAGCCTAAACTGAACTAGGCTCCAGTACTTGGCCTTGGGTATACATAAAAAAATTTTTTTTGAGGCCTGGACACTACTTATCTTCCTTATGTTCTTTAGACTTAACACGGCCTGGAACTAATAACTCTATGATCTAAATAGATTTAAAACTAAACCCAGGAAGTATGGAATCCCATTTTTAAAATTTGTTAATTTATGTATTAATCTTATAACTATGACATAAACATAAGACTGATTTTTTTAAAAAAAACTTAGATCACAGAATTAACAAAACATTTAACATATAAACAAAATAAAAATATTTTACATGTGCTCTAAGATTAAAATTCAATTAAGTCAAAAATCTGGAAATAAAAATTCAGGCTGATCTATTTTAATAATTTTACTTTGAGTTATTATCTAAACTTAACAGTAAAAACAATGGGAAATCATATATTACCATCCAGTTCACTTTGAATCTTATTCCTTTCTCTTTCTAGCTCACTCTTAGCTCTTGCTGCCTCCAGTTTGATGTCTGTTATTTCTAGTTTGTTTGAATGCTTAAGTTCTTTTACCTGTTAATAATTAAAAATTGAAATTACTATTGGTAATGGAGCAGACCATCAACTGCTCATATGCACGTTCAAGCTGAAGCTAAAGAAAGAACAAGTTCACAAGAGCCAAAGTACGACCTTGAGTATATCCCACCTGAGTTTAGAGACCATCTCAAGAATAGATTTGACACATTGAATACTAATGATCAAAGACGAGATGACTGTAGGAACAACATCCAGGACATCACACATGAAGAAAGCAAGAGTTCATTAAAAAACAGCAAAGAGAGGAAACGCTCGCGATCACTAGCCATTAGAGAAATGCAAATTAAAACCACAATGGGATACCATCCCACCCCGGCATTACTGGCACGAATCAAAAACACTGGAAATAACAAATGTTGGAGGGGCTGCGGAGAGATGGGAACTCTTATGCACTGCTGGTGGGAATGCAAAATGATACAACCATTTTGGAAAATGATATGGCGTTTCCTCAGAAAGCTAGAAATAGACATAC